CAGAGACAAAGGTCAAAATAACATAACTATTAAGTAAGAAACAGTTGGTTTGGACATTTTAAACATTTACGTTGATTACAAAGCATCATGTTCCACTGGTTATTTCTCTTCGCACCACTCATTTTCCTTTCGAACCTATCAAGGAAAATACAGAAAAGATAAATGGCATCAGGAAAAGATTTCTTCAAATAACACCAACTTTCTCGCCATGACTGAAACCTTAGTCCATAAGATACACCCCTACCTAAAGTAGATGTCACCTGTACCCAAGTTAAACTAGAATGTCCTTGGTCCTAACTTGGATATGAATTACCGGTATTAGGGCTGGGGTTACAGGGCAGTCACTAAGATTTCAAGTTCCTGGTATGTCACTGCAATTAGCAGGAGGGGAATCAAACAGCTAGGAACCTTTTGGGTTCTATTTTCTTTTTTTTCCATGAAAGTAACCAGGGATCATTCACATACTAGCTGGGGAAAACCCCTGGCCCCTGGTCCTTGGTGATAGTGCTGCTAGGGAACAAAAAAATTTGAGAATCAAACTACAGTGAAACCTCCTGTAAGTGAACACCCAAAAAAGATTTTATTGTTCAGTTACTCTGAGGAGGTGATCCCTTTCAAGACTAGAACAAGCAAAGGTCTTCACTGAGTAAAGGTCCCGAAGCATCAGCCAGTCTACTTTTTTAGGGTTCCCAAAATTAAAATCCCTGATGGAACACTTGGCTGCACCACATGAAGAGGCATTTTGTGCCTTTCAATCTGTTCTACTGCCCTATATGTAAATTTTCTCTCTTCAGCTTTTCTGGGGACCCCTGCTACTTGAACCATGAATAACAATTAACCCACCTGTTCTTCTTCTTCTGGAGTAAAGTCATTCTTGATATTAAATGTCTTCCTTATTTCTTCAGGAGTTTTACCTGTTTATTGGTTAATACACAGTGGTGGATTCAATTCAAATTGAATTTAGTTATTTGCATACATTCAGGAATTCCAGTCACTTGAGAAGAAAACATCCCCAACTTTATTTTTCAATTTTTTAAGATTCTTTAAGGGATTGGAGCATGAAAATCAACCAACTGCAGAATCTCTTTATTTATTCTTTTTTTGGGGGGAGGGGGAGGTTAAAATGTTCCCTGTAACTGATCTATAATTGGCATTAAAATTGTTCAGACATTGCACTCAACTCTATTAGGGTAACTGTAAAGAACAAAACAAGTTACCCACACCCCTCCCTCCTCCCCTCCATTTGAAGTTGGGTGTTTGTTGTTTTCTACTGGTAGCACGAACAACGACACATCATTGAGTGGAGGGGATGGGGGAGGGAAAGCTTGAAACACAATCCAGCAGGTTTTTGAGCAATTTTAATTTTCAGTGGACAAAATCCTTGTACCAGAATAATAAACAATATCACATTCTTTTTTACATTTTTCAAGGGCTATAGATATAATTAGTTGTCTGTAATAACACCAAAGACTATTTCTCGTGGGAGCTCGAGAAAATATATGTCAAATTTCACAAAAATTGTGAAAACACAGGTAAAATTCTGAAAATTTCATGTGTAAGATGTCATTTTGTAAAATTTGACGATAGTAGGCAAAAAATTTTTGGTTGTCCCTTACTTTTACCAAAACAACCCTTATAGCAGTACTCAAATATATAGACCGGTTACTGAAAGTGTAAATATACAACTAAGGCGGATGTTGGCAAAAAATTTAAGACTAATTTTGAAACCTAAATATGACTTGTGTTTATAGATATGACGTACAGAAGATGAATGTAAACTTATTCTCAATATGATTTACACTAAATCAAATCAATCAATTAATTATTTTCTTGTCCTATTGCATATTGGTCTTTCAACATGAATTTGCTCAGGATTCAAGATATACATTTAAAATATCTTAGGTTATGTCTTTGAGGTATTACAAGGTGTATTTTGGTAATAAAATACAGCAAACACCTGCATATAAGAACCTGTGAATTAATTAAGAACCTCCTGGGACAAATTTGCCACTATAATGCACAAAAATACAAGAACCTGTTTAGCCTGTTCCAGGCGTTTAGATAGTGGGGAGCAAGTTAAATCGTAGGCAGCCAGCACAAAAAGAAACATGAGGGGAAAAAACGAGGGGAGACTAAGTGTAACGAGAACATACTGTACCAAACTGTATGTAAATTCGGCAACAAGTTTTGTTAGGGTATTATAATAATACAATTGTGAATAAATACTGTATTTTTAAGGACCAAAACCAAGTTTATTTATTTTTCTGCTAATCAACAATCTCTTATCTCCTTCATATAAATTAAGAACCCAATTAAGAACCTACTTAGCCTAAATTGCTAATAAATACTCCAAAATACAAGAACCTATTTTGCCATACTTCAAAAAAGTAAGTTCTTATATGTGGGTTTTTACTGCAGTACACTTTAATTTTGACTTAGGGGGTGGAGATGGCTGACATTTCATACTAATGGGGGCACAGACTGAACTCAAAAAGCAATAAAATAGAAGAATACCTTTGATCATGTTGGCAACTGTTTTACATGTCACATCTAGAAGTCCTTTGATATCAAGGTAGTTTGCAGCCTGCAATGAAAGAACAAGTCAAATGACTGAAACAATATTATTTTAATGCATATGTTGTGGTCAATTTTTCATCTCAATTAAGTTTTGTTTTTCTTTTGTTTTGGGGTAGGGTAATGTATACTAATGAAATTGAAACAAAGGAAAAATAAAAATTACCTGAGATAAAAAATTAACTGCAACTCATACACTGTAATTAAAAGGGCAGGATAGCTCAGTTGATAATTTTCCAATTACAGCGAGATCATAAAACATTTGAATGAGATATTATACATGCTCCAATTTTCATAATTCACCTCCTTTAAACTCTCTGTCCAGGTATTAAGCCGTGAGATGTTGCATGTGGCTCCAAATTCAATTGCGTCTACTTTTTTTTAGGCTTTCGGTATTTCATTTCTAGTGACCATATCAAAAATGTAGGTTCCCAAAAAGTTAAGCTCAGACTAGCACTGACAGTTCTATTAATACTCACAAGAATTAACTCAAAAAGTGTTCCCTGGTCGACTTTGAGGAATTCTTGATCCCAAGGATCAATGTCATCTGTTCTTTTCTCTTTGTTTTCATCATCATCTGGTGGTGGTGGGTCGTCCTTGTGTTTCTGAGCCCACTTGATCACCTACAAAATAACAAAAAAGCTGATTACTTACAGTGCAAGCTTTTAACAAGGGCTGCCACTGTGACTATCCTTACTTGAACAGCACAGGGCAAGATGAAAATTAGGGAGCTTAAGTACAGGCATTTTTGAGCCACACACGTCAACAGGAAGTAAGACTGTGTCCACTTTTTATAAGCCTTGATGCTAACACTCTTATGGAGACAATTTGCCTAAAACTTTAAATCACAGTCTAAGTGATTTACCATGGTGCTATTTGTTTCCAATGTAGTTCTACCTTTCAGTCTGTGAATGAAGTTCTGTGGTATGGCCATTCAAATGAAACCTCTTAAGCAGTACTTTCATACGGTACCATTTATTTAGTGCGTAGTTCTAAATCTGGGTCTGTGGATGAAATCCTGTGTAACCATTCAACTGAAACCTCTTCAACACTAGCAAATGACACAGGCTCCATATAAAAAGGCTGTATCTATGATGCACTGTATTTACCTTGGCAAGAATGGCTGCATTGACATTGGGAAGTGGGACTGGTTCATCATCGTCTTCATCCATGCCAAGATCTAAAAATTAAAGCATGGTACTATGGGTCAAACCATGAAGACCTCAAGGTTGAGTAAACTGCCTGCATTTTAATCTCAAAATATTAGCTTTCTGTGGCATCATTTTTTTCCTTGCACATAGCCTTGTACAACTTTTTCCTATGGACTCTCTAAGATTGACACCGTCAAAAAAGAAGCACTTGAGATGGTCGTGACTGTTGTTCAGTCAAGTTTTTACAATCTCTAAAAGGAGAATGAAACCCACTCTAAAATAAGCACCAACTGTCAATCATGATTCACTGTACATAGCCAGTAATTTTCACCCTGGCACATCAAACTGTCATTTTCTCATGCACTTGCTTGAGTTGTTAATATAGAGTGAAGTTCCCCTTAAAGTAACGAAAACCATTTATATTTTTTAAAAAATGAAATAATGTCCTGATGTCTTATGTCTATTTATAATAACACAGACAACATTCATTCTCCAATATGTTGTAGATATGAAACTGTGTTATAAATACTGAATACAATGTTATGTAAACGTAGAGATGTGATGATCATCTCTGCATTTATTTCTTCACCGTGCAGTTCAAATATATGCAATTCGTATATTCATCATTTCACAATGTTATGTGTAATCACAAAAAGGGCTTCTCCTTTGAACTCACCTTCAAGCATAGTTTTTATTGTGACGGACGCTTTGGCCACTTCTACATCAACTTCATAAATTTCTCCATCGGAGCTTTGTAGCTTAATTTCTGGCATCTGAACCAAAAAAAACCACAAACCATCAAACTGTTGGACAAAAAGAGGGGCCTAGAATATAGCCCCAAGTTACTTCCTTCCTTGCTAAGCATTTCACTCACTGAAGCATTTGTCGAGCAATTATATTTTGCTCTTTCTGTATGGCCAGGTTGTTAAAAGCAGGGGTAGGATAACCCAAGGTTCGCTCAATATTTCAGGGGCAGATCCAGAAAATTTAGAAAGAGGTAACTGGGAGACTTGCCAGTTACAATACCATTTTATTCATTGGTTACAGAACTCTGACAGGATTTTTGTGTTCAAAGATTAAGGCTATAGAAGACACAATTTACTGAAATAAGTGACATGACTTAATTTAGTATGTTGAAACTGCCCATAAGTGAACTCCAATAAAGCTACACTTTCATAAGGGGAGTGGTCACCTACAAGAGGTTCCTGAGTGAGGGTTCCAACACCTCGCAAACTCTTGGTTTGCAACCACGTGACAAGGCCGCCATGTTGGGGGTCAATACAATAGAATTTTTTCTCGAAGAATTTACACGAAAATAGAGTTTAGTTCCCAGAGGAGAGAAATGATTTTGTTCTTGGCCACCAACATGGCACAAACCAGCAATATCCTGACTTCTGGCAGTATAGGTGTTATTGTCTCATTTGCTCAGAAGCCTTTCTAGCTAATCCAGCCAGGCTGACCACACACGTGCTGGAAGATATGGGCACCACACCACACCTGGGACTATGTCCCCTACTATATATCAACAGGATGTGTCGTCTTAAAAGTCCCACAGATTTTGAGTGAGCAAGGGTTGTGAGACCAAACCCGCAGTTCATTGTCCTTATCAAAAAAGACTCCTCAGTTATTTGAGGACCTACAGTGTTGGTCTTGCCAGAATTGGAAAAGCAGCCTCCTGCTTAGAAGATAGATACTAATCCAAACTGGTTTGCTGTGGCAGTTTGAACCAAAGTGCTTAGACCGGGAACATTCTGATGTTTTGAATGGATGGTCCCTCACTCGCTGAGGATCACAGTACCACACATTGCATGTGGATAAATTTAAATTTTCAATTTTACCACAGACTCAAATGCTACATATAGTAAAATGCAAGTTCTCGAGACAATTCAAAAGCAACAAAAGCAGACACATGTTGCTTAAAAAACTGAACCCACATCTTAAATCAATTTATTATTCATTCAAAATATTCTGATTGGCTAAAAGCACACGTTTAATTCACCATAACCAGTTACTGATGACCAAATTTGGACGAATTTTGACTTTAACGAGGAAATGACGTCAAAAATGCAGCATTTTCGCAGGTTAAGGCACCATTAACCGAGAAGACCTGGGGATGAGGTTGAGTTGTTTTGGTTGTGAACTTGAAAAAATGGCCGACGTTTCACTCATTTCAAGAGTAAGAACTAGTCGAAAAAATAGCTAAAAACATGGCAAGAACAGCAAGAAGACAACTCGAAGGGCGACATCTGCCATTTGGAGAATATTTGCGGAGCTGGACAAACCTAAACGTACACTATCGAAGATGAACTGAACATCGATGGATCGATGGAGGTAAGCATGTTTTAGCTATGTTTTTAAACTAGGAATTATTTTGAATGAATAATAAAACAGTTATTGAATTTGGCTTTCGTATCATATGAAGAATTATGGACATCTTGGAGGGTGTTATCCGCCTCGGCCTACGGCCTCGACGGATAACACCCTCCTCGATCTCCATAATTCTTCATAAGATACTCAGCCTCATTCATTAACTATTTATTTAACTGTCTATTTGCATATTTATGGCGGGCGGACGCTAATTTTTTAGCTCCTCGTATTTTGATTATTTCGCTCTTTTTCTTGCCTATTTCATCGATTTGTCAGTATTTTTGTTTTTCCTGTGCACTAAAATTATGCCAGAAACACATAATTCTAAGACATCCGGCGGCTCAGCAAGCGCTGACAAGAATCCCTCGAATGAATTTGTAACGACAGCGATGTTGAATGAGATACTTCAGCTTCAAGAAAGGATGTTTAAAACCCTTGTAGATTCGCTTGTGAGCAATTTCAATTCTCGACTAGATACAGTGGTTGGAACTGTGGCTGAACTTAAGACTTGCCTAAACATATGCCAGAAGGACACAAAAGAATTCAAACAAAGTCTTGAATTCTCTCAGAAAGATATCGACGAGCTAAAGCCGTGTAAAACCAAACTTGCTGAGATAGAGGATGACATCGAGGACATCTACGACTCTATTGACTACCATATGGACAAATTAGAATATTTGGAGAATCAGGGTAGAAGAAACAACATCAGAATTGATGGGATCTTAGAAGAAGAAAACGAATCGTGGGACACTACAGAGGAAAAAGTCAAACAAGTTATAGCAGAGAAGCTCAACCTTGAAGAAGCGCTCCACATCGAACGTGCTCATCGTGTTGGTAGGGTTGCTTCTGGCCCTAGAAGACACCCTCGCACAATTGTGTGCAAACTTCGAGACTTTAAGCAAAAGGAGCAAATATTGAAGGCGACAAGAAGAATTAAACCTGTCGGTTTATACGTAAATGAAGATCTTGCTAAGGAGACCCTTGATAAGCGTGAAGAGCAGAGACCCAAGCTGGAGGAAGCAAAGTGGAATGGAAAAATAGCGTACTTTGTGTTGGACAAATTGATTGTAAAGGACAGACGTGATTAAATCAGATAAGTGGTTAAATTAGATAAGTTTATTACAGTGACACAATACTCGCTAGCTTTTCTCTGGCGCTATATGAACTACAGAATGGTCCTGTTCACTTTGATCCCGATAGATTTTCTAGCTTACGTTACAATCCAATTTTTTCAAACTCAAACGCTTCTTTGACACTGTCTGGCAGTCTTGATCCTGACATTAATTTTCATGCAGTTGAGACACCCTGCGACTATTTTATTGAAAATCAATTTAACGAAATGCTCAGACGCGAAAATTGTTCTGATGCCGATTTCTCTTTCCTACATCTTAATATTCGTAGTCTTCCTCATAATTTAGTAAAGCTGACTGACTATCTATCATGCTTAAACATAAAATTTTCTGTAATCGGAATTTCTGAGACCTGGCTAAACGATTCTGCTCATTCGGTCGATATTAATGGTTTCAAATTTCTTCACAAGTATAGGCAAAATAGAACTGGAGGTGGGGTAGGGCTTTATATTTCAAACGATCTAGAGTTCAAACTTCAAGAAGATTTGTCCCTCCATAATGTTGATACTGTAGAATCACTGTTCATTGAATTAATAAGACCTCAAGAAAAAAATATAATTGTTGGTATTGTTTACAGACCGCCAAATCATAGACTCGATGATTTCTTGTCTACAAACAATGAGTTGTTAGGTAATATCTCTAGAGAAAACAAAATATGCTTCCTAATGGGGGACTTTAATATTAATTTAATTAACTACCAAAATCATCACCTCACAGGCCAATTCCTAGATGGAATGTACTCTAATATGTTTTTTCCTTTGATTACGCGTCCCTCGAGAATTACTTCACATACTGCTACGTTAATAGATAATATTTTTGCGAACAACTTTTTTGAACGTTCGAGAAGCGGCTTATTATTTACTGACATTTCAGATCATCTACCCGTCTTCTCAATTCATTCAGATAACGTTAACACGTCGGTAAATCGATGTCCACAAGACCCCTTCTTTATTAGAGATAAGAATCCGAATAATATTCCTACTTTTGTTGAAAAACTAGAAGTTGTTGATTGGTCTTCGATTAAAACTTGTGATGAGCCAGATATTGCGTACAAACGCTTTCATGAAATGTATACAAAGATTTATAATGATTGCTTCCCTCTCAAGAAGGCGACTAGAAAGCAGAGGCGCTTTAAAAAACCGTGGTTAACGAAAGCTCTTCTTAAATCAATTAAAACAAAGAATAAACTTTACAAAAAATATCTTCAAGTTCCAACAGTCGACAATTGTTCACTCTACAAAAGATACAAGAACAAATTGAATCACACCTTGCGTTTGGCTAAGCATCGGTATTATGAAAAGAAATTGGAAGATGCTAAATCAAATACACATGCGACCTGGAAAATTTTCAACGAAGTCTTAAATAGAAAAAAGTCGAGGCCTCAATTAAATACAATATTTAAGTCAGACGGTCAGGAGATTTCTGATCCAGTGGAAGTAGCAAATAGGTTTTGCAGCTACTTCTCTAGTATTGGTCCCAACCTCGCAAAGAAGATACAGCCTCCTCCTTGTTCACATAAAGATTTTCTATCTGGATCATTTCGAGAATTAATCTTTTTTAGCCCAACAAAAGAGGATGAAATTACTACCATTGCTCAATCTTTTGCTTCCGGGAAAGCAGCTGGATATGATAATATTCCAATGTCTATAATTAAGGAATCCATTCAAATCATTTCGGGACCTCTGGCTCACATTATGAATTTATCGATCGCTCATGGCGTTGTACCAGATCAAATGAAAATAGCTCGTGTGGTACCACTGTTTAAAGCTGATGACCAGTCACTATTCACCAACTATAGGCCTGTCTCGGTTCTACCAAGCTTTTCAAAATTTCTAGAGAGAATCATCTATAATCGTTTGTATGATTATTTAACTAATTTACATATTCTCTGTCATAACCAGTTCGGCTTCAGGAAAAACCACTCTACGACGCTTGCCTTGATTGATTTGCATGAAAAAATTTCATCTGCTATTGATCGTGGTGAATTAGCGGTTGGTGTCTTTTTAGATCTCTCGAAAGCTTTTGATCACAGTCAATCATTCCATCTTATTTGATAAACTTGAACACTATGGTATATGTGGCTTGGCTCTGAAATGGATTAAGAGCTATTTTTCCAACAGACTTCAATTTGTAGAATACAATGGTTATGTTTCGTATCGTGCTAATATCATGTGTGGCGTTCCCCAAGGTTCAATACTAGGGCTTTTGTTTTTTCTGCTCTACATCAACGATATAATCAACACGTCAACAATATTACAACTGATATTATTTGCCGATGATACAAACGTATTTGTGTCTCACAAGGATAAAGACTGCCTTACTAATATACTGAACGCTGAACTAAATAAGTTGTCAATATGATTTAGAGCTAACAGGCTTTCATTAAACTTGAAAAAAACCAAATTCATTGCATTTAAACCATCCCAAAAGCGTACAAATCAAACTATTCAACTTTTAATTAATAGTCAAAAAATTGATCAAGTAAAAGAAACAGTTTTCCTGGGAGTAATCATGGATGAAAATTTAAATTGGAAATCTGAAATCTCACATGTCGCCAATAAAGTTTCTAAATGCACAGGAATTATTCGTAAATCCAGTTTCTATTTATCCACGAAAACCTTACGAACACTATATTAGTCTATCCATACCTTTTTTACTGCAACTTAGTTTGGGCCTCTACTTACAGAACTAACCTTATTCGTCTTGAGATTTTACAGAAACGAGTGATCAGAACTATAGCTAAAACCACTTTCGATGCACATACTGACCCAATCTTTCAAAATCTTGGTATCTTAAAATTTCATGATATATACTTAATACAACTAGGCTTATTCATGTACTCCTATCAAAACCATACTCTACCTTTAAAATTTCATTGTAAATTTACCTTACAAAGTCAAATTCATTTGTATAATACAAGAAACTTGTGTAAATTTCGTCTGCCTTTCTGTCGTACTCGAACCAAGCAATTTTCCGTTTTTTATCAAGGACCTAAATTTTATAACACCTTAAACACCAACATCATCAACGCTTCCTCACCTTTCTCCTTTAAAAGAGCACTTAAGGCATTTATTTGTAATAATTATTAGTATACTTCAACAAAAATCTTGGGAAGAAGCCTTTTAATATTCAACATTTGTAAACTTCCGTAATATTGATTAGTTTAATTTTTCACCTGATATTATATTGTACCCGTCCGAGCCGTAATTTTTATGCCATCTTCGAAAAATTGTAATTGAGGAGGCCTAATTAACATAAGCTCTATAGTTTCTTTTAGGCCTCCTCACCATCTCTTCCTACAATTTTTTTTTCTTTTGGCATCTTTAAGTAATTATTGTAATTGTGTGGCAAATAAATAAAATATCTACCTAAAAATACCTTAACTGTTAAATATACGGACCAGTTGCAGTCCCTTACAAAAATGATCATATCTTATTGCTAGTTTATTGCTATCTTAAAACTAGTTTCAACTATCTAAAATCTAGTTCCTCAACAAAACTCGCTATCTTTTTGCTATTTTAGAGTTTGAGCGGATAGTGCATAGCTATCTCTGTCCTAGTTTTGTGCTAACTATTATATATCTGCCCGGTAGTTAGGAGATAGATAGAGTGTCTTAAAACTAACTACCTATGTAGATAGCAAAAAGATAGCCTAACCAACTACTATCTCAGCTATCTGAAAACTATCTTCACTGGAGTTAGTTAAAAGCTAGGCTATCTGATTTCTATTTCCTTTTTGTAAAGTTAAACTCTCTACTATCTTAGTACTAACTTAGTAGTGGATAGTAAAAAGATAGCCTATCTTAAATCTATCCATTGTCCATAAAGCCATTTAATATGCTATCCAAAAGCTATCTTGGAAAAGATAGTGAAAAGTTAGGCTATTTGAAAGCTATCTGTTTCTCATGAAACACTTTATAACCTATCTTAAAACTATCTTGAACATAGGTAGTGAAAAGATAGCCTCAAACCTACCAATATTAACTATAATATGGCACTTCCCAATGTCGGCAAATAGTACTGTAATAACATAGGGTATCCTTATTAAGCCGACCATTTCTATAGCAAATTATTGTAAATTCTATCAAAAAATAATTTGTCACAGTTAGTCAGCTAGTTGGCAATGCTCACTTATTTTATACACAGAAAGCTCGATTAATCAAGACTTGCACTGTATTTTAAACTTAATGTAAGACTGAGACGCTTTTATATATTAGTGCTTCACAAAACCATTTAATTCTAAAGTCACAGAGAATCACATTATCCACACCACAATTTCTCGATAAAGGCTTGCTTTGATTATTTCCTTTTTCATTTCAGTTTCCTACATGTGTATCAACAATACCTTGTAATAGTGAACAGCCATTTGCGAAAATTTTTCTCTAAAAAGCGTTGTGCTCAGTTGTGCGTTGGAGGACTGTAATAATTAATTATCGTGCCAAGCTCGATTACCTTCCACACGACACGATAATACCGTTACTGCAATATCAATCTTGATCAATCGCGTCTGACTCATTTTAAGAAGGCCTGTTTTTTCAAAATACCTGAATTTCCCTTTTGTGATGGCAGATGATGAAGGTGAACCGCTTTCTTTAGGCTGAAAATATAAATATTTCAGTACAAGAAGAGGATGCCTGAGGATCGAGTTCGCCAGCATTCCTCAGTCTACGTTGAATCGATGACACAAATGCGAAATCTCTTTAACTCCACGATATCATATACCCTTTCGGAATTTTTTTCTCCGCTTGCACTGTCCTTCATAACCGAACTTTTCCTTTTTCTCAGCCATTTTGTTACTTTTTGGATTCATAACTGATATCTTTAAGCCTGATGAGTGCAAACAAGCAGTAGTTGACTCTCTGGTGCAGTACGTGACAACGGAAATACCGTTGACTGCCTTTCATCCGGGTCTTCGGTCAATTAAAAAATCGCGCGAAGACACAATCGCCTTTCATTCGATCTTCGGCCGTTGGAAGTAACCGTTGAAGTCGTGGGTCGGTTGAACGAAGGTCTAATCATCGTGGATAGAGGATATCAAACTGAAAGGATTTACTCACTTCTTTAAGGTTTGTGTATAATTCACCTTCTATTGCTTTAGTCGATTTAGTATGTGTGGGTTCTTGCTCGTTTTAAATTTTTCTTGAAGAAGCGGTACCAACGTTTAGTGTGACATTCAGTACAACTCGGAGCCAAGTCAAACAGCACACTGACCTTATAGTTTAACTCCTGATCAAGCTTGTCAGCGCTAAGAATGCCAGTTATAGTTTGTTCACTTTTGAAAGTCCTATGGGAAACGTATTCTTTAGCGCAACTATCCGTGAATGATAAGTAGGATTTTTTTAAGAAGATTGTCACAGACCGTCTGTCAGTTATTATCAAGAGATTTTTTGGCTGATGATGATCGAAAAAAAGGGTATAACTTAAATAAGCTTGGTGGTTATTGTTCCATTCAGTGACTGATAAATTTTTTTATAAGCGTATTTTATAATTCCTTACTTTACTGTTTCTTTACTTTTTTGAATGAAAAAACGATCGATGTGACGTGACCCTCAAGTTTCCGGAGCTTAACTTGTGGTTTTTTCTAAAAGTCTTGGCTGGTGCTACTGGAATGCGCCGCCTTTTCTGCTAAGATAAGATAAACAAATATTTGGAAGCATGGAATTGTCTTACTGTAAACAATTAAGTAAAAGTTGTTTGTGTTTGGTTTTAGACGGTTAAATTTATTTTCTTTCATGGCTAGCTATAATTGTTCTTCTGTATTACACATGTAAAGAGAAACAGATCTAAGGGCAAATCGGGTTTATGGCTCCTCTTGAATAGATCCGCAATATTCAAGTAGTGGCCGATAAATTTAAAAAACAATTAATACCATAAAGAACTCTTTAATGGCATAACTTTATTCTTATAATTGGCACATTGTTGACCTTTAATATTTATGTCTTCTTTGCAGAGCAAAAGGGGAAGGCAAGTGGATAAAAGCTTTCCGATGTAAAGAAGGTGTTGCGGATAAATTAGGAAGTGGCGCAGACATGCAGCTGAGTTCTTATATAAATTATTAAATACTAAAGTTGTATCAAATTTGATGTGAACTTTGAACAGCTTGTGATGGAACTAATAAATCATTATTAATGAAAATGGAATCCTTTGCTGTAGGCTACAGGCAACAGTCAAGTATATTTCAATATAATATGACTTGCATTATCGTGTTTAAAAATGTACTGTTTATTATATTTTTAAAAGGTTTAAGTTAAAACTACGGCATGTCACTAAGATTGATCAACTTATTACGCCGCGTCTATCTAATTCTTATCCGTGCAAACCACTCTAGCTAATCAAAAAACTAAGTTAAATGCTATCCAATAACTACGTTTTAGCCAAGATTAGACATCTAGTTTATTGCTATCCAAACACTAGTTTTTAGTTATTAGACATCTATTTTATTGCTATCCAAACACTAGTTTTTAAATATCATACATCTAGTTTATTGCTATACAAAGACTAGTTTTTAGTTATCAGCCATCTGGTTTAAAGCTATCCAAACACTAGCTTTTAGCTGCCAGACATCTAGTTTAAAGCTATCCGAACACTATCGTTCAACTAGTTTATGTCTAGTTTATTGCTATCTATCGTGCCATTAATACATGTAAATTGCTAGTTAACTTCTATCTAATTACTAGTTTCTAACTATGTCAATGATGTCATTATTGGCAAAAACGTATCCGAAAACTAGCTTCTTAGCCGATAAAAAGCTAGTTTTACTCTATCTTATGTGTATCCAAAAGCTAACTATTGCAGCGATGCAAAAATTTCCTTTTTAAGATGGTATTTAGATAGCCTATCTGCATGGTTCCAAATAACTAGAAATTAGTTATTATTAAGATAGGCTTAAGATAGTAATTAGTTATTAGTGGCTACACAGCCCTCCTCAAAACATGCGAAGACATTAGAGCAAATTTAGACTCTAGCGAGCACTCTGCAGCAATTACCATAGACCTCTCCAAAGCATTTGACTCTATTAACCATAATTTGCTTCTTGCAAAGCTGTCAGCGTACGGTGTAACTGAAGACACCCTACAACTTCTACGTTCTTACTTGACTGACCGAAAGCAACATGTCAAGATAGACGGTAACCTGTCAGATTGGCAAATTATGAAGTGTGGAGTTCCTCAAGGTTCAATCTTGGGTCCCCTTCTCTTCAATGTATACATGAATGATGCGAATTTTTCAGATATTTCGTGCTCCTTAAGATTCTATGCCGATGACACTACGGGGTATTCTTCAAGCCCTTGTCCATCCACCTTGCAAATAAATCTACAAAACAACCTTGGTCTACTCGTTTCCTGGTTTTGTAAGAACTTCCTGGCGATCAACCATAGTAAATCTCAATCCATCATCTTCAATAGAGCAACTCTACCAACGCCCTTTGTTATTGACAGCAATGAACTGGATTACGTTCCACAGATCTAGCTCCTTGGTGTAATTATCGACAATTCACTCTCTTTTAAAGCACATATTAAAGAAATTTGCCGGAAAGTGAACACAAAAGTTTCAATTCTTCGTCGCATTCGTAAACTTATACCCTCAGATATTATGATTAAACTGTACAAAGCATTTATTCTGCCTCACTTTGAATACGCATCACCATTGTTCATAGGTCTAAGTAAAGGTTTGTCTGCAAAACTAGAGTCAACCAATGCATTTGCTCTTAGGACTCTTCTTAACTACTCCAAGTCGACTGCTTATGAAGAGCTACTTAAAACTGTACATATCAAAAGCTTGGAACATCGACGCATAGAACAAGCACTGATACTTGTATACAATAGCATTTATAACCGGGCACCGAACTACATTCAGGAAATGTTTTTACTGCGAAGCAATGGTTACAGCCTACGGGGCCATCTTAAGGTTGTTCTTCCAAGACCGACCTCATCTTATATGCAACATTCTTTCACGTACCAGGCTGGCAAACAATGGAACAGTCTACCAGACAAAATAAGGATGTCGGAGTCCCTCTCTATCTTTAGGAAAAACTTACAAAACATACAGTTGTCTTCATCGTATGACTGCAACTGTGAATTTTGTTAATAGACAATCTGATTACCAATATTTTTTCTTTTTAAATTATTATTATCTTTTAGTTGGTTTAACTTTTCTATTTCTTATTTTTATTCATTACTTGTACATGTAGATTATGTAAATTATCACGTTGTAATTTTTATGGCACATTTGCATTTAAACGAGCTATCGCTCATATGCGATATGTGGTTAAATAAAATTACTTACTTACTTACTTACTTACAGGGCATGAAGATAGGAATAAACTAGAAACAAGATAGCTTGTAGATAGTTTGTTTAACTAGCTTTAAGATAGAAAAAAGATAGTGTCTCATTTCGTAAGGGGTGATTGCCATTAGGGAACTTAAGATAGTGACGTTTTCGGGGCGACGGCAACTTCAACCGGACGTGACATCATCATTGTTGGATACTGCGCATGCTCGTGCTCACCACCTTGCCATCGTGGTGCCGTCGGCAACGTGAAACTGGTCTGTTTGGCGTTGTGGCGAAAACGCGAGTATTTAACTTTCATTTCAATCAGGTTTGTTGCGTTTAGCAACCAACATTTTGCAGATTATCGTTCTTAAATTGTCCTTGTTTTCTTCGAGGCACATTTCAAGCTCGATTTCCAAGCTCTGTTATCTAAACTTACATCTTTATAATGTTTCTATGTTTTCATGTCACAGGGTCAAGATCCAACTTGGCAAACAGCCAACCGTAAGTGAGCTTGACATGGACAAAATTTTCCTACGAGCCAAATAAAAGTATCCAGACACAAAATATGAACTCCGATATTGCAATTGTGTTTTTTTAGTTCGCTCTTTTCGTTAGAATATCGTATAAGTGAAACGCATTGAAAATTATATAGAATAGTAGGTAATACCATGTAATAACTCGGTGTGGCAATACTGAAATAAAGTTGTTGCCGTTGTTGCATGCAAGTATTTCCCGGGAATTATTTCAATACCAAACTAAGAATACGGTTCCTTGGTAGCATTTTAATGTTCCTGTACTTTGCAAGGCTTCGGCAAGCCTGTGGAGGTCTCTTTTTTTTCAACACGGAATTCTGCCTGGAACTCAGCTGCATCCCGCATGTTTTTTAGCGTGAACGGATCGTAACTGTCCCGAGGAAAATCGGGATTTTTGGACTCATAATTTTCCCACAAAACGAGAAACTCTTCATCCGATACATGTTGTCTGCATAGCAAATATTTATTCTTTTAATTCTTCATGTGAAGCCATATTTTCCTCTTCGGTATTCTTCTAATTAAAGGCGCCGTCCTTCTGAGTTCACTGCGATCTTAATGTTCTATTTTTGACGGGAAGCGACGGCTGCCTTAGTTCCAGGCTTTCTCTGCCAGTCCGGTCGCCGTCGCCCCGAAAACGTCTCCATCTTAAGTATGCGATGACAGTGAACTCATAAAATATATGTAAATTTCTTTGCAACACTTTTATCCCTTCAAGCAGGTTAAAACTGAAAGAAGGAATTTAACTGTTTGCGGAAAATTGCAAAAAAGTATTTTTATAAGCTTACTGCACGCCAGAGCATGATGCACGTAGAAAAACGATGCACAGCAGGACACTAAAATGAACGTTAAGAGGATATAATAGAAAAAAAGAAATACCTTACTCGTCCAAGTTTGCTTTAGTGTCTTTTTGAAGACTGTAACAGACCTAAATGAAGAAAACCCGACGCCAATAAACTGTGCTCTATTTTTTTCCACCAACTTCGAAAACCGACCGTGGGCGCGTACTTCATGGCTGAATGCCATATACACGACAAGCCCACAATGCCTTGCTAGTACCTGTAGTAGCTGAACGCTACGTTACATGTATAGTTACATGTGGTATGGTTGCCGAAATGTAGCAAAATTCGATAAAAATTATTTTCATTCGATAAAAATATATTTGCATTCGATAAAAATTATTTTCATTCGATAAAAATATATTTTCATTCGATAAAAATATTCTTATGCGATAAAAATATATTTTCATTCGATAAAATATATATTTCCATTCGATAAAATATATTTTCATTTGACACAAAAAAAATGTTTTTATTCAATAAAAATAATTTTCATTTGATATAATGTTTTCATTCGATAAAATATATTGCCATTCAATGGAATATTTTCATAGGGTAAAAATATTTTCATTCGATAAAAAATATATTTTTATCCCAGAATGTCACGTGGTACTTGTTAGGCCTGGTCGCATAGGACCG